AACATGGCATGTAAGACCCTCCTGAATGTAAGTGACTTGACTTTAGTCTAGAGCGAGGCTCCCTGAAGGGCCCCCTTGAACCCTGGTTAATTGTACAGTCTAGTTCTTTCCCATGGCCTGTGCTAATCTGTAGTGTTAGACGGCCTGTAGTTTAAGGCTGGTCTTGGATCAGACTACGCTCTGTTTGGGAGGAAACTTAAAGGTTTTGGCATCGTTCTGGCCTTGGAGGCAAGGAAGGGCTGTGTAACATAAGCACCTGCACACTCAGCCTCTGTTGGACTGAGTGATTTATCTTCTGCAGCCGCTGGTTTTACTCCAGATGACACATTATCTCATCCTTAGGGCATCCAAGGCTGTTCAGGTACAGCAGCCAAAAATGTATGCTGTACAGTTCTCTCAAAACCCCTCTGTGGTATCTTTTCTTGATAATCATTTGATGATCATCTTTTCGGGGGGGTTGTTGTTATTATAATAGACTTTAATTTTTAGAGCAGTTTTAGGTTCATAGCAAAGTTGAGCAGAAAGAACACAGATTTCTCATATATTCTCTTGGATCTCCGACCCACCCCCTATGTCAACAATCCACACCACAGTGGTACCCGATGTTACAATCATTGAACCTAAACTGACATATCATAAGTCATAGTCTATCTTAGGGTTCACCCTTGGTGCTGTACATTCTATGGGTTTGGATAAATGCATAATGACATGTATCTATCAGTATAGTGCCATACAGAGTATCTTCACTGTCCTAAAAAATCCTCTGTGCTCCACCTATCCGTCCATTCATATCACCTAACCCCTGGCAACCACTGTCTCAATGGCTTTGCTTTTTCCAGAATGTCATATAGTTGGACCACCTTCATTTTTAATGCAGTGGCATTATGTAATATTTTGTTATATTTCTACCTGCTAAAACAATTGTTAAAAGTCAACTTCCGTGAAATGGCCCCCATGCTCTTCATAGTAAGCAAATGAGATGAAGAGTTCAGAAAAAGGAATAAAGATAAACTGTTTGAAACCCTTAAAGGAAAAAAAAAATAAGGGAAATTAGAGGCTTTATTTGAAACATAGCTTCCTTTCACTTAGCACTTTGCACATAGGTGGAAACATGCTCAGGTGCACTTAAGAACCTAAGAAATGCTATGACTTGTGCTTCATTCACTTGTGCTGCTGACCCTGTAAAGGTCAGCTTAGAAATAATCTTTAAGTGACAACGGATTAACCAGGGAAGTCAGGACAGCCTGATCACCTTCCTTCTAAAGTGGACTAAATGGGTTTGGTTTAATTTGTGTTATCTAGAATGTGAAAATGAATATATATATACTCATGTATGACTGAAAAATTGTGTTCTGCACCAGAAATTGACACAATATTGTAAACTGACTATATAACTCAATAAAAAAAATTTGTTTTATCTAGTTTTTTATTTGTTCACTTCCCCCTTCAAAATGTCTTTCTGGAATATTAATACTGCAGATCACTGTACGGTCTGTGTCACTGCTAAAGCACATCAGAAGCTCCCTTCCCTACTACCCCAACATAACTTTGTATCTTAGTTAGTAATACTTTTTTACCAAATACCTGTGGCTTTCTTCTAGGGGCTTTTTTAGTTTACCATTTTCCTCTTGAATTTTGTGTTTCCCATCCTGCCAAAAGAAAACAGTCCCAATTTATTCATTATTCAGAATGCTAAACAATGACGTTGCTACAGACATTTTCTTCTGTGTTGTCTTAGCTTAGGTATAAAGCTAAATAGCTTTTTTTTTAATTAGGGAAGGAATTTAACTTTCAAAATATTTTCCTTCATTCTTTGTTCTAAGTAGTTTCTTAATACATTCTCATAGAGTTTACAACAAATGATTTTCAGAGTAGATATTTTCTTTAATTATTGAGATTCAAAAGAAATTCAGAATGTATCCTATTTACTTACAAAGTGGGCTCAAGGTATCAGTTACTTCTTAAGAGAAAAAATAAACACCCACCCCTCCCCCCAGCTGAGCTCTGGACAACTGGTGACACCAGGCATGGCTGTATCCAGCAGACTGTGTCACCCTCTAGACACGCAGCCAAGTAGTTGCCTTGACAACTTCTACAGCGTATACAACTCAAGGGGTTTTCTACTCTGAATGACCAATGTAAAGTTCCAGACTGTGTTTCTACCAATGTTCTTAAGCCCTGCCTGGGCCATTTCTAGGGACAAAGTCTTTCTGTGGCACACACACTGCTGTCTGCTCTGAACTGCTTGCCCATCAGCCTCCAAAAGCAGAACGCATGTTCTTAGACCACTCCTGGAAACCCCTGCACTGCAGGCTGATTCAAGATTGAGAAATCTAAGGCGTCACTGGAAAAACAGGGTAAGATAGGCCAAGATTTTAAGTAAATCTCTGCAAGCCCTTTTAAGCAGATTTTATGTTTGCTAAACTAATAAAGACAGCCTGCCACAGAGAGAATGGTACTTTGCACACGTTAAATCAGCGGTAATGAGTACTATGTAATATGTTTCCATTTACCACTTTCCTATCCTCCAGCAAATTAGCAGCTCACTCTCTAGAAATTTTAAGTAAGAAGTTTATAAATTTGTCCTGCTTTGTTATATATAATATTTACAAAAAAGGTAATTTTTCCCCTTGTGGTTTGTCTTTGACAGAAAAAGTATTTCATGCTTTCCTGATTTATTATTTCAAGAGGCTGGCTTCTGTTTCCTGGGTCCCAGAGACGACCTTAAATCAGTTTTAGCTCCTTCACCACTACAGGTCTCTCTCCTGAGACTGTTCCTGCTGTTTAAACCCCTCTACATTACTTTCTCTTCCCCAAGCCTAGTTCCCTCTTTTTCTGATTTTCCCAAGAGAAGTACCCTGAGTATGCTAAAACTGAAAACTTCATAATCTGAAAAAGGTGCACAGAATCAAACCCACATCTAAGACAACTCTGTTAAAGGGGAATTCAGGGTTGGGGAGGGGTTATTATAACATATTACTAAAAATATTAGCCAGCAGAAGTCCAAGAAACAGTTATTTTTGTTAAAATACCAAAATGATCTTACTTAACAAATTGAAAGGAATAAGAGGGTCACTGGAAATCATGGTTATTGATCCTGTTTTCCAAATGAAATCAAGTTAGAGGGTGTCCCGGGGGCACTCAGAATCGAGCGTCTATGTGTCCACTCCAGCTCTTGCCGGCCGTCTACATACTCGAGGCCTTAGCTATTAAGCACTTGTTCCAGGAGAGAAAACGGTCCGGCCCATCAAGGTAGCCTCTAAAACTTAAGTAAATGAACAAGGGAATAACAAATATTACCATTTTGGGTTCTTGCTTCTGGGAACCCTTCCCTGGGCTGCTCCTGTGGTTTTGTAACCTTCTTTCTCTTTCCTGTTTTAGTTCTAACTCAAGCTGGTTCCTGGGATAGGTAGGAGAGGAAAAGGGTGAAAATTTTGATTTCTGTACTCATATTTTCTAAAGAATGCCAGACCCTTTTCTTAGAGTTCAATAAATAAGTTTTAATACTTGATTAATAAAAAGTTACCAGATATAGATGGACAACCAGGTTTTAAAGTACTAAAATATAATACAATGAAACCAATAGCTCTAAAATACATTCCGGGGAGCTGGGGGGAAGGTATAGCTCAGTGGTAGAGTGCGTGCTCAGCATGCACAAGGTCCTGGGTTCAATCCCCAGTACCTCCATTTAAAAAATAAATAAATAAACAAAACTACCCCACCTCCGCTCTAAAAAAAAAAACACCCAAAACATTCAACATGTTTAATCCTCCTTAGATGATTAAGAATGTACTTCAGGATCTCCCAGTGCCTGAGGGGTCACCACTCTGAATATCAACATTTAATATTAAATCTTAATGAAGAGTGTGGTCAACTGAATGACAATTAGTAGGACTTACTACACTGAAAGATAGTATTTACTAATCTTTAGCAAGATACAGTATGAAAGTGTTGACACCACAGTCCATTTACATATTAATTAGCTGGTCTCTCTTTACAATTATGTAGCCAATCCCCAGCGATACTCTCTACCACTGGCGTCCTTAGTAGCCGTGTGCTTTTATATCCAACAACACAGTCTGATTTGTTTGAAGTCAGTGCTTTAGGTACAGAAGGGAGTCTCATCTGAGAGAGAGTACGGAAAAGTGGTTAAGGGCTTGGAGTCAGAGTGAAATAGGCTTTTAATTTTGGGTGTTACTACTTATTAGCTTAACTGTGTGAATTTGGACAATTTCAGCCCTCTAAGCTTTAATTCCATCTAAAATGAGGGCAAAAGGATCACCTACAAATAGGTGACAGGGAGATGCTAGGAGAGAATGCACATGAAATGCTTAGTAAAGTCTTCGGCACATGGTAAGAATTCAGGAACTCCCAACTGTGATTATTAGTGTTGTGTCGGCTGTTAATTCTCCTACTCCTCATTTATCTGGGATCTTGGGTTCCAATTTCCTAATTCTTTGATGGCAAAGGATGTTGACAAGATTTGGGGAATGCTGATGTATCTGAAGCTTTCTGAATTCTAATTCTGGACAAAGGGCATGGGAGAGACAGAACGCACACGGCTGGCTCAGGAGACCCCCTTCTGATGCTGTCAGGCCTTAGCACTTCCCGCGACCACCCTGCCCGCTACAGCCGCCCTCTCTTCACCGCTGCCTGGTGAGCTCCTCCACTTCCAGCTGCAGACTGTTGATCTTGTCTCCGAAGTCCTGCTTGAAGAGCCGGTTGTCCAACTCAGCAGACTGACGGCCTCGCTCAGCCTGGCGCAATCTGGATGTGAGCCATAGGAACTTGTGATAAAAAACAAAAGCCATGGTGGGGAGAAAGACCAAGTTCACAACACAAAATAAAATAACCCAAGGAAGAAGGCAGGGAGAGACAGAAAGAGGGAAAAAAAAAAAAACTTTGCAGGCCACAGGAAGAAATTATAGGGGAAAAAAGATGATGAAGAAACAAATTTGTCTAAAAAAAGCAAGATGCAGGTGAACCAGGCAGAGGAAAAGTTGATTTTCCATTTTTTTTTTATTCTAGTACTACGGTTTACAGCCATTAGATGATAAACAATAAAACATCACTTTTTAGAAAATCCATATCCAAAGCCAACCTCAAGTACACAGTAATTAAAGTCAAATCCACTTTTCTGTTTGTTTTTATTTCCTAATATGTTTGGTACTTTATATTTCTATTTTACACTCATAACTGGAACTTGCAAATGGGCAACTACCTTCTTACAGGTGGAATTAAAACATTTTTAACATTTTCCTGGTCCCTTCCCTAAATCACACATTAATATTGAATCATCAGACATTATACATCAACCTTTATTCAGGCTTCAAATTTTTACATAAAGAAAAGCCTTTGTCAGAGTTTGGCCATCTCTTTCCTTTTCCATTTCTACCGAGTGGCGTGTGACAAACAATTCAGCACTGGGCCTGCCTAAGCTTCCTGCCCAGACTCTGTGGAAGATTCTGATGAATGTTTTCTCCTACATATCCTATAACTTTGCACCTGTAAAGAAGCATGTTCGAAGGTGAAATGTCTGGGCCTATATATGATAGAATTTGGAAGCATGCTATGTGTACTCATTAAAATACTTTATTTTGGTGTTTGAGTACACCCTTCAAATGCTTATAGAAGAGGCAACTCACCACCATAGAAGGTTGATGAAGTAAGAATAGGTGCAAAATTATAAGCGCTAACTAAGTTTAAAAGCACAGGATCTTCCATGAGGTTGGTCAGATGCTCTTTGCAAAGTCAAGTCTGCAAGGACCTGGAAAAACACACATAAAATCTATCTTACTCTCTTAATTCTGGTTTTTCCAAGAAGACAGTAAAGAATTTCAAGAGCTGGAAGCAAAGGGGCTATCTTTGACCCCGTCTAAGCAGCTGAAATGCTGCAAATCCTATCAGAATGAGAAAAAAGGAAAAAATTTTGCCAAGATTTTTTGAAGGAATATAGGCTTATGTAAAGACTGTCCCCCCTAAATCAAAAGTCATTAAAAAAAATCGAAGTATTTATAGGAGTATTACAATGTAAAGCCTGGAAACGGTTAGATCTGTGGTCACTTAGGAATAAAAGTCCCACTAATTACTGTCTACGGACACCCACTGGGAATCTTTATTTTTAGACTAAATAATAATAATAATGAATATAAGTTTATCAATTTCCTACTCTGAAATGGTTTTCTAGTAATTAGACTGTTATTTTCCTAAAAACTTGAGCAAATCTCCAAATGAACAAAAAGTAACAGAAACTCTTAAATAAATGTAGCTGGCAAGAAACGAGAGGCAGGAAGCCATCATTCAAGTCTATGCCTTGTCGTCTTTACTCCAAAAGGAAAAGCAGGATAGATCTGAAAAATGTGTAGCTTTTTTTTTTTTTTAAATAGGAGAGGAGTGTTTTTAATTAGAATTGTTCTCTCTGAGCTACCTCAACAGGAAGTGGAATTGCAGGAAGATGGCAGAGGTAGAAGATGACAAACATTAGAGGGCTTTCCCAAGGTTCCACATTATTGTGTTATCATAAGTTACCTAACCACTAACTTTATCCCTATGACTTTAAAGAAATGTAAGGACGCTGTTTCCCCTTCCCCAAAGTCACTAAGGCAAAAAAGTTGCAAGCAATCTTGGCTACTGAGAATAGAACTGTAGTGAAATACTAAGTACTTGTCCTTGGCTTGGGGATTAAACCTAGGTAACAAAAGTGAAAAGGGGTCACGGCCTAAGAGACACAGAGCTACTTCAGAGCCCGAGACCAACGGTAGTCACCTCTCATTACATCGCAATGGCAGAACAGGCTCACGGACACAGACATCGCACCTAAAAACTGGTATTGTCGGGGACTGGGTTGTAAAAGCATCGATCATATATGTACAGAGCTTCAATTCCCTAGGATTTTTTTTAATGGTGTGTTTATTTTATTGGGCAACTCAGAAGTAATTTCTCAAAGTTTACTTGGCATTTAATGAAGAATTTATGCTGAATTTTCTAACTCTGGGGAGAAAATGAAGAAGGAAAAATAAAAACACAGCCTATATATCAAACTTCTTTTGTTTTTTAAGTCCAGCCAATTCAAAGTCAATTTTTGGTGACATTTTATATAGAATCAGAGCATAAATGCAATAACTTTCTGATTTCTTCCCTTTACGATTAAGTTGTGACATCCAACTTGCGAGGTGACCAGCTGCAAAATGCCTAATGATGTTTTGGGATCAGTTTATTTGCTGCACTATTTAAGGTCTTTGCCTGTTTCACCAAATCCTTTTCACTATATTAATAAAATAAAAAATAAAAATGGAGTGAAAGGGGAATGAGAAAATGAATAAGTAGGAAAGACAAAAATAGCAAGAGAATAAGTCAGCTTATTCCTTGAAGAGATAAGTCATTACTTTAGGTCTGTTTGCTTTAAATGCTAAGACAAAAATCCATTGAAAAATAATCTGACACATTTCAAAAACATAATTCATGGACAGTAAAGTTGATTTTTTAAATCATAAACATGTAACTGCTATGAGCAACCACTTAGATAGCTTCCTACTTTTTTTAAACTTTTAAAAAAGCTTATTTAAAATTCACCTAAAATCAGCCAAACAAGAGGTTTCAAGCTTGTTCATTAATTTGCAATTAACTTTTGAGTTAACGATAATATGGGGTGCTGTTCAGGACCCCCCTGGTAAAGTACCATCTGAATAAAAGAAGCCATCCACTCGTCCATTCATTCACACTTCTACTAAATGATTGCCCTGGACATTCAAGGTACTGTGACAGATTCAGTGAGGGAACTCAAAGGATTAGTTAACTAACCTCAAGGAACTCATACTCTCATCAGATCAGTTACACTTATTAAGGCTTTATAAGGTGAGGCCGAAAGTGAGAAGTGCTATAAACATACGGACAGGTATAGCCATAAGACTATGGGAATTCCAGCAAGGACAGACGGGCAGTTTATTTCTAGCTGGGAAGAAGTATCAGAGTAAGCTCTGGGTAGGTGGCATTTGAGCATGAACGTAAAAATTGTATCTGGAGAACATGGGAGTGGGAAGAGGAAGGGCATTTCTAATTGGTCAAACTATTAAGAAAGATATGTCCAGGGGCCAGTAAGTAGTTTAGCTTTGCTCAAGAGCAAGAAGGGTGAGCAGTGGGTGTTACAGGTGGCAGCACAGGCTGACAACACTTAATGACCATGGCTCATTCAGTCTCGAAGTTTCAGCTGAGCCACCAGGAAGAGAAGAGAGTAGCACGGGGAGAGGATGTACTCTGGGCAGACTGAGCTGTGGGTACTGGTGGGAACAGCTGATCAGAGGGTGAAAATGCAAGACTGGGCTCCAGATGGGGGACAGAGCTGGAGACTGACAGATCTGAGAGTTGTGGGTGGGAGGCGACAGTGGGAGCCTTGGAACTAACTATTTAGGAGAAAACAGAGAAAAAAAGGAGATGGGAGAGGAGGGGAAAGGGGTTACAGTGATCAGAAGGGCCCTCAGCACCCCTCCACTGCCCAGCCCCAAAGCCTTCAAAGACTTGAGTGATGAACAATAAAATAACACAGTCACAAACAGATTTAAAAGTCCTTTCATCCTTGTAAGTACCCCTCCTCTAACACATGACACTGAAATGTTTTTAGTGATATCTTAAAAAACATACAATTTAATTGGCTTTCTTTCTACCAGCATGACTGATGTTAAGCGGGTAGAATTCCATATACTGTTTGCCAAACACACGCCACACTCTCATCACTTCCAGTACGGAACGCCCGAAGTGTTTCACTAAAGAAACAGCACTGTTACCTTTGTTCCAGTTGTTTAATAGTAGCAGCCATCTGATTAGTCTTCTCTTCCAAGCGACTGTTTAGTTCACTTTTCTGTTTCACTCCTAAGTCTGAACTCTGTTAGGCAAAAGAGTTAGGAGTGATGTATATATAACACAAAATACTGAAACAAATCACACATGCCTCTGCAACCTAATGGAAAGTGGGAAACAGAGAAATGGAAATGCCCGTATATTTGTATATGGGTTAATTCTCAAATGGAGGGAAAAATAAGAAACATTTAAAATTAGTATTGTGATGTGCAGTTCTGTCTCAAAAATCAACATCAGAAAGTACATCAATTTACCTATATAACTCAGTTGGCAGGTTAGGCTGGAGGGCAGAAATTATCCTACAGGATAAAGAAGAGCCCCTTGCCCCATTACAACGTGAAAAGTGACCGTGGCTCTCCAGAACAGCAGTCCAGGACCCTGTGACAGTCTGATTCCTAGAGTGGTTTACGTTTTCCTCTTGTATGTCAAGTGTGCTTCTAGAGAACGAGAGGGCAGAGGGAAGCCCCGGGACTTCAGAGAGTCAGTGAGACTGTTTCTCATAGTTCTCTTACCTGCAGCTTAAAGGCAAGTTCATGTTTAAGGGCCCTGAGGTCATCCAGCTGCTGCCGCAGAGACACCAGGGCATCCTGCTTCTCACAGACATCCTTCTCCAGCATCTTCATAGCCAGTTCCATCTCCTGCCTCATGCTGATCTGGATCTCCAGTTCTTTTTCAACATCCTGCTCCACAAAGGGAAACAAACTGCTTACTCTCTCCTTCCTCAAGTGAAAACCCTAAAATTCCACAGGAAAAGGCAGACCAAAACTCTCAGGTCTGAAATCTGGCAAAATAGCTATAAGCTGTCATTCAATGCAGAGACATTAACAACAAGAATAATAACAACTAGGATAATTACTGTAACATTTATTCAATAATTTACAAATCTGAAAAGCTTGGTATGCCCCAGGTAATGCTATTTAATATGTCTAAAATGCATGCATCTTTGAGGCACTTCATTAGATATTCAAGTAGACAACTGACACCATGTCCTATTATAGAAATATACATAAAGTGTTACAGCGGTCAGCACAAAATGAAGCTGCCGGAATTTGGAGGCTGCTGCCATTTTCAAGAGCCCAAGGAACCCCAGAGATACTTTGGGTCCCCAGGGTAACATCTCACTTACTGGGAATGGTCAATATAGCTGACTGAATTTTTATACTCACTTACCATGAAATCCTCTTTTATTTCAACCATTATTACTACAACATTATTTGGATAATCAGAGGTACAAAGATCTAAGGTTCTGCCCAGGGCTTATCTAGAACCTTGTCTCCTTGCTTGGTTCCCTTCCTTTTTAACAAACATTTACCTTAATGTGTTATGAGAATGCGGAAAACTCTGTGTAAGATTTTTTTCACTTGCCACTTAACTGAGGCACTCCTCTGTACACAGTTAGCATAAAAGAAAACAAATCAGACTGCTCCTTAAAATGCTGGCCTATAGTATTCCTAGGACCTTCCTTATGGCAAGTATATTGAGACTGAATCCACAAACGCATAGAAGGAAAATGATAATTATTTCAAGTTGTTATTATTGTTAAAGTAACATGATAAAATGACCTGAAGTTCTGTTTTATGCACTGAAAGTTTGTGATAAACTGTAAATTGGGTCAGTGCTTATTTTCAGGCTTCTCCCTATTCTTAGAGACATTATTGGCAGCGATCATTTGGTTGTCATACTGTCTAAATTACAGGAGGAGTTGATGTACTAATACCATAGGTGCATTAATACACTGACCTTTGGATAAAATCTATTATAGGAGAATTATTCCTTATTATATATCCTTATATATATGCATATATATATTCTTAATTTCCAAAAATATTTTAAGACTAATACTGATAACACATTTCTATTTATGTATAAGAACAAGAATAAACTCAGAAATAACAACTAAAAGTAAAAGAGTACAATTCTACATTAATGATTCTTAGTAAGGAGAGAGGGGAGGTCTCCTGCCCAGCCCAAGGAGACAGATCTTTGCAGGGGTAAGGCTGAGGTAGGAAGGGAGATATCTAATGTTTTTGCAACATGAACTATAAAAGTAAAAAGAAAATAAAAATAAGGTTTGGCAAAATCCTATTGGCTGTTGAGAATATTCAGAAAATGACTGAGGAAGCATTATAGGGAATATGGGTTATAAGAAAGAGAAACAACTTTATAGGATCCATAAAATCTGTTAGAACACCACTGACAGTCCTTGGTGTGAGAGAGAAAGCCCCTCAGTCGGCTGTTAGGTTTTAATGTGTTCCTGAACTGTTGGAATGTAGGCAAAGTTTACCAGTCGTAGTTGTGTCTCCTCCTTTAAGTGCTTTCTTGCTTCACTCAGTGCTTGCCCTTCTGAAGTTCTGTCTGGCTTAGGACCCTTGAAAAGATAAATAAAATAGTACGTATTTAACGACTTAAAGAATCTATACGGTTGGCTGACACTAGCACTGCTATTCAGTAAAGAAAATGATCATATCTAGGCGCATATGAGGATGAGCAAAGCCAACAAAGAAACTGAAGAGGTTCACTAAGTTAAAAATTCTTAAGCTGAATGGGAGATTTCTTCTCATTTTATTTAAAGTCCTAAACAGTTTACCAAACCAAGTGGTAGAAGTCTTAAAAATCATCCTCTAAAAACAAAACAGCATTCACTATACACTATAAATTGGACCAAAGGTTCAAATGGTAATACTGTCCTCCTCCAGAGATCTCACATCTGGTGTCTCCGACCATCCACCAGATGATCCAACCAACCAGAGATCAGAGCTAAAGATGAGCAGCTCACCAGAAAATTCTTCAGAGCAGACAGTTTTTTTTTTTTTTAACAAACTCCACAAATAAAACTGAAACATATTACTCATGTTGGTCCCCACTCAGAGCCTGGTTATTAGTTTTTTTAAAAAAATATTTATTTATTATTGTATTATCTAATTAATTAATTAAAAAAAATTTGGTGGTGGGGTGGAGAGAATTAGGTTTGTTTATTTTTAGAGAAGGTACTGGGGATTGAACTCAGGACCTTGTAAATGCTAAGCACGCACTCTACCACTGAGCTATACCCTCCCCACCAGGAACCATTTTAATAATTGGATTTCTGGATTCCTAGGTCACAGCAGGTTAAAAGCATGAGGATAAGGAGTAGGGAGACCTTTCTAGAAAGTAGTGCCAACAGCAGTAAGACGTAAGAGATGCCAGTGAAATAAAAGGCAGAAAACCACCCACAGTAATCTGGGAATATTTAAGTACAGGTGCTAGAAGCAATCAATTTCAACAGCTCCCTAAAGTAGCACCACTGTAATTCAGTACAGAGTTGCCAATGTTGATAATAATGATCTTCAGTCATCATAAAGGGCTAAATGTGTTAAGTTATATCCTCTACTTAAGAAGGCTTAGAATTGTGCATACATAAAAGGTTTGCAAAATATGTTTAGACATCTATAAAAAGTTTGGCACTTTAAGGGACCGAGTTACCCAGAAAATTCATTTGTGTAGTAACTCTTTCCTAGTGGTATCAGATAAACACTCCCTATAAAACAGTAACAAGGTCTAAAAATAATGGTATATTTAATATAATAGAATACTTAAATACAGTACAAATCATTAGCACATAAAAACAAGGAATTGAATTCGACTATTTTCTCGAAGTCCCTAAACAGATTCAGGTGGTGGTGAAGCCAAGGAGTATCTGCCGAAGAGGGGGCACCGCCCTCCCATCACCTTCATCATTCATGAAATTCTGCACGAGTCTAGTGAGAACAGTACACTGGACATATGCAAATGCTCGCTGCTTCCAAACAGTTCTCTGGAGGTTCCCTGACTGCTAACACACTGACATGCTCTCTAGGAATACTTTACAAATCCAGTAAGATTAACCTTCCGATTAGATTCCAGTATGTAGGAGCTTTCCTCTTTAACTCGTTCCATTTCTTCTTGCAAGGTGATAATCCTGTTGTTTGCAACTGCAAGCTGTTGACAAAATGTGAAAAATAATCTTTTATCTTTCTTTTATTAACAGAGGGTAAGATAATTCATGATCTGCTAGAACATGATTTTCAGGCTTAGATATTTTTAGAAGGAAAGAAATCTGTCTATAACCCTGTAAAAATGTTCTTGTAGGGAACTTAGGAGAAATACCTTTAAAGATAAAAACAAAAAGCCTCTCCTGCTGCTGCTTTTTTGGTAAACTTTTTTCAGTACCAAAATGTTAACTTAAGATTGTTTACCTCAAGGGTGTCCTCATGGATAATTATATTTAGTTATAATACCTATTTCTAAAATGTTTACGAGGTCACCTCATGCCTTGGGATCCATCTTACAAACCCTCCATAAAACCTTTTACAGATGATTTTTTAAAGGGTAAAGAAATGAACTCTAAAGTTCTCACTTTAAAAGATGCCACTAGGCATTGAAGAGATTTTTCATTTGGGGGCCTAAAGAGATAAGGTAATGTTATGAACAGTATATTGCTAAGGGAAACAAATCCCCATTTCACACGATAGAAGAACCAAGCGGAAACACTATCCTTCTCTGCACCTACCGAGCTCAGTTCCCCACAGGGAATGGAAGGTGCCTGAAGGAGGCTGGGAGAGCCAGCCCCTCTCAGCCGGGCCATCTGCCTTCTTGCCTCCACGTGGTTCCTCGTCTAACGTGTCAGTACAGAGAAGCCAGGCTCAGGCACGATTTACAGGCAGTGCCAGCAGCCCACTTCTCTCTGCTCCACCGGCCTTGTAAAGCATAATGAAGTAACTCTGGGCAGGTGGGTCTGCTCTCTAGCACCAAGCGCGCCCTCAGACTGCTTCTGCCAAGGTCTTACCATCAGAGAAATGTTAGGAATGACGACTGCAGATCCAAGTGGGCTTTCTAAGTCAGCTTTACCAACTTAAGTGGATGTTTACCTATCTGCATCTGCTCCATTCTTCTCACTTTGTCATATTGGTTCAAAACTCAGGAGGGGAAAGAAGGTCTTTTTTGTTTGTTTGTTTTTTACTGGTCCCCTTAAATCCAAAATAGATGGAAATGAGAGAAGGTGGACCTCATTAGGCTTATCTGCTCTTTATAAAGTCTATGCACAGCACTTACCTATCTCTAAAAGTTTGAAGTTTCAAAACACTAAATCTTACTGGTAAAATAAATAAATGAATGAATGAATACACTAATACTGTTGGTAAAATAAATCCAGGTCAAGAGAACAAGTCTTGTGACTGAAGGAATAAAATAATCAACTGCATTTACTGAGTACATATGATGTGTCAGGCACTGGTCTAGGCCCTTATGCATTAAATCATTTAATTTGCACAAAAATCTTATTACTGTTCTTATCTTTATTTTACAGATAAGTAAACCAAGGAATAGAAAGAAGCTTAAGTAACTGACCCATGATCAAAAAGCCAGCAAGTGCCAGAGCTGGGACATGAACCCAAGCAGTCCAGTGTTGGAGAGGCATGCTTAACTGCTATGCCCCATTGCCTCCATAGAATAGCAGTAGAATCACAGTAGAAAGTTTTGTGCAGAATATTTCAAAAGGCTTGTGGGATAAAATGCTAATGGTCATATCCATAAGTTAAAGTTTTAATATAATTTAAGAATCTACATCCAAAAATTAAGCCCACAGAGCCGAGTAATAAGGAAGGTGTTGTAAAGTTATAACAATGAAAATGTTCATTCTGAAAAAATCTGATTAGATGGCATTTCCTGACTAGGGTTTTAAGTTCCTTTTTTTATACCAATTTTTTTGAAGTATATTTGATTTACAACATTATATTAGTTTCAGGTATATAACATAGTGATATAATATTTTTATAGATTATACTCTCTATATGTAAAATCTGTAGATTATAAATGTTTATTATATTATAGCCTTGAAGCTATTATAAAATATTGGCTGTATTCCCTCTACTGTACAATATATCCTAGTAGCTTATTTATTTTATACATAACAGTTCACATGTCTTAATCCACTACCCCGACCTTGCCCCTCACCACTTCCCTATCCCACTGTAACCACTAATTGTTCTCTACATCTGAGTCTGTTTCTGCTTTGTTATACTCATTTGTTTCATCTTTCAGATTCCACACGTAAGTGATAACATACATTATTTATCTTTCTCTGTCTAACTTATTTCACTAAGCATAATACCCTCCAGGTCCACCTATGCTGTGTTTAAGCCACATTTATCTCACTGTATGTAAATGGATAGTTATAACTAAAAGAGAGAGAAGATAAAGCCTTTGCCACCTGAAAATTTTTACTTAAGGTTTTTCACAGAAACTAATCTATTCAATCTAATGCTGTTGAAAAAAAATATGCAGTTTAGCATTTGTAAACTGGGGAGGAAATATATTAATCAGAAGTAAAATATGAGGTTATTTTTTATCCTTATTTTAGGGACTTTTCTAAGAGTTTTCACATATATATTCTTATCTGACTTTCAGGGTAATTGGAGGCTAAAAGGGGAAGTGTAAACACCCTAAAGTGCCAGTGAGGGAACTGGGCCTCCCGCAAGTCAAGTGACTTACTTGCTCAGGAGCACATGACATGTAAGCAGGAACTACTGGTCTTCTGACCAGTGTTCTTTACGTTATCTGTCCCATCACCCCAGGGAGAAAACAAAACCTGTGCAGGTAGGGAGCTTGCCAATCTGGCATACAGAAATCAATGCCTGGCAGGTGTAAATCTTTGTCTAGCTCTGGCACGTAAGTGGTACCTAAAGTGTTTGTTGAACGGATATGATGCTATCTGCTAAACATTACCTCCAGGCTAGCCCAGACAAAACACACAAAAGAAAGCAAAATACTTGAGCAGCCCAGGTTCTATGCCTACAAAGTCCAACTGGGTAACTGACCCCTGAAATAAGCCAGCTGGCCATTCTTGTCAGAACAAGGTATTATCTGAAAAGTCAAGTCCTTTATTTTCAAGGCTCCAGAGAAATTATTTTCCACTAACGCACATTACTAAATTCCATAAGGCAATCAAAGAACTTCCAAAACACTTACCTCCTCTGTCAGCTTAGTGTTGGATTTTTCTAATGCATCCACTTTTGCCTGAAGGTTGTTCACAGTAGCACTATCAAGAGAAGAAAAAACATAACGGTCTCCTCTGAGAAACAGAATAATATCCTGTACTTTCTTTCAAAACACCCATCATACTTATCATTCATTGTTTACTCTCCACAATTCTCGACTTTCAGGCTCTAAGACAGCTTACAAGGCAATATGTATCTTACCTGCTACATCCTTGGCATTGAAATTTGTATTTACTAAGTATTTGTTGATGAAATAAAAGAGCTGATGCACTACACTGTAAACTTCAAGATTTATATACATACATATATACATACAGTAAGAATACTAGGCTACATGAATTATGATGTGCTTGCCAGTCACCAAGCACTCTTCTGAATGATTTTACTTACATTATTTCATTTATTGCTTTCAACAACCCCACCTTCAGTATCCTCAACTACAGATAAAGAAACTGAGGCACTGAAAGAGTAAATAATAGTGTTATATTTATATTTCACTGTCAACTGTAACCATATCTTTGCTTGGCTAACATTGCCACAGTTCACTGTTCATTATTAGTACTCAGTCTCCAGAGAAAATGTACTTAAATTGTTCTTGAGTTTTCTAGACGGAACCAAGACTATAATTTATATTGATACTAGCAGAATCATATTTTAGGTCTTACTTAAATTACAATGATTATCTTTCATAAGAGAACTATAAATAATTAATGGATATATTAATTCTTCTGACTTATTCAACAGTTTTTAGAACATCAATGTACTTGAGAATACCAGTACATTTTGGATAGCTCTCCTCAAGAGAAAAGAGATTGTTTTATGTTCTGGTCATAAAAAATACTTGGTGAGTACTCGGTAAATTAGTGGTAGTGTTGGTGAAAAGGGGGCAAATTAATATTATCAATCTAATGTATGTGAAATGCAAGGGACCAACAAGATGTGACTAACCTAAAGGTACCAAAACAACAAGCAGTTTACCCAAGATTAGTCCTGAAATACGTGGCTGGATCTACTGAATCAAGAAGACCTCCAATTTCAACTGTCTATGTCACAAACTTAAGAATTCTTAATTGAGTATATTTACATAATCCCTAGAGTTCTAATTACATACTAGTTTTATTCTGCCTTTCATTAAAGGTCACCAAGACAGTTAAATGCCACTTAACCAGGGCTTAGCTCAGTGCCTGGCAAGCAGGAATTCTATATATAGTTGAGTATTGCCTGAATTTATCCTAACTGCTCATCAGTTTACACTTCCCTTCCCCCACAACAAAACCCCCAGTAATTGTTTACTAATTCCTTACTTCAGATGTCTGTTGAGTTCTTCTACGTAGTTCTTCTGATCCAGAATTGCAGTAATCTGGCCATCTCTAGGGAGAAAAAGGTTAAAAATAGAGCTAAAATAAATACCATTAGAAATACCAAGATGCCTCCTGCCCCTAATCTTTTCATAAAATACAGAAATGAAATTATGTCATAGACACACCGAACCAGAAGATAGACCTGACGTCTAATTCCCTCGACATTATCAACGAGAGAGACTTGGTTTAAAACTGAAGCCCCTGCCCCTACATGTTAATAGAGCCCTTGTTATAGCTTATACCTCTTAATGACTTAGGTTATAGGTATCATGTGCAATCTATTCGAGGCTTTTAAAGAATAAAAATCTTCTTCTTGCAACTGATGGAGTTTTTTAGCTTTGCTAGTATGATTTACAGTAGCAATGTTCCACATGTCATAGGAACTGAAGTACGCTTACTCAGGTGTACTAACTGTTCTCAAAGACTATAAATTTGTCTTTAAATGCTATTTGAATTTCAAGGTGAATGGTATAAAAGATTTTCACAAAGATCAAGTGTTTATTATTACATAAGAAAGTTAAATGTGGAAAAAGGAGGTTTACTTCTGGAGCCAACTAGAGTAGGCAAAAGTTAAACAGACAGACTTTTCCACTTAAAGACAAAATTCAAGGCCACATACCTCTCTAACACTACTTAAAGAAAAAGCCATATAATAATCTTAGCTCAACACCCAAGGTTCAAAACTTCAGACTATGGTTTCCACTGCTGAGTTTGTTTTTTATTTTATTATATATATGTATTTTTATTGAAGTATAGTTAATTTACAATGTTGTGTCAATTTCCAGTGTACAGCGTAATGCTTCAGTCATACATGAACATACATATATTTGCTTTCATATTCTTTTTCAACATAAGTTTCTACAAGATATTAAATATAGTTCCCTGTGCTATACAGTATGAAATTGTTGTTTATCTATTTTATATATATTAGTTAGTATCTGCAAATTTCAAACTCCCAATTTGTCCCTTCCCACCCTCTTCCCCACCCCGGGTAACCATAAGTTTGTTTTCTAAGTGGGTCAACTGCTAAATTTATAAAAGTTATAAGGTGAGCTTCTGATCTCCAATTTCCAAGTACCATATGGATATTTTAAAAACTTCAAATTTTGAAATAATTTTACATTTACAGAAGTTGTAAAAGTAGTGCTGAGTTCCTAGATACTCTTCATTCAGCTCCCTGTAATGTTAACATTTCCTACAACCCAGTGATGCACATAATAATAGTGCAAATTTTAAGCAAACTGAAAATACAATCCTCTGGTCAAGAAGACCATGTTTTCAAATGAGATGGAGCACTGGGTTCCTTTTATAAAAATTTTTATAAACCTGAACCGCATAGCAAGAAAACCCACTTAACTAAATCCCCTTTTAAGGTTTAGCAGGCACAATAGTCAGATACTTTTGACAAGATTCTATTAAAGCTAAATCATCAGAAATCCTTTCCGTACATCTGTGAAAGAAGTATTGTTGTGAACTTTAAATAGTATTAAGAACACTAAAGAAAAAGGAACACTAATTTTCTTTGTACATACCCTTCACTACCTTTACTGCTGTTCCCATCCTTGAGATACATTGAAAAATCTATAACTCCAACCTACAGAAAGAATTTTCAGAATTTAATATAAAATTAGATACTTTTCCCAAGCCATAACACAATGGCTCCTTCTAGGCACTCAAAATAGTAGCACAGTCATGACAATTACTAGAAATTTTTAATGCAAATTTAATGTTTTATTATAATCAAGAATTGACAAGTATTATAAGTAAAGAATCAAGATTAAGTCAGTAGGATCATGACATGACTAAAAAGTCAACAGGAAAAGAAAGAAAGAAAGAAAGAAAGAAAGAAAGGAAGGAAGGAAGGAAGGAAGAAAGAAAGAAAGGGTATAGCTCAGTGGTAGTGTATGCCTAGCATGCAGGAGGTCCTAGGTTCAATCCCCAGTATCTCCATTAAAAAAATTAAAAATTAAAAAAAAAAGTCACCAGAATACTTAATATAAATTTAAGGTTTAATGTTTCTTTCTCTTTTGCTTATTTCAAATATTCTGCTACTAAACCCCTGTATATATATTTTAGTATATATATATATATTTTTTTTCAGCCTGTGCAAATTATTTTTAAAGGGGATCACAGTCAAGAAAAGAATTTGAAAAACATTCATTATGCATAAATGAGCCAAGCTGGAAGGAAAAACAAACTTTTTATATTCACATCAACATTAAAGGAAATCCTACTTATGACTTATAGAACTTCCCCTTATTTGGTTGGTATAATCCCATCAATCCAAATTCTAAGGTAACAGAACTGAGAGTGACACACCAGGTAGCTGAGTATCCTTCTCATACCTGAGAGTCCAGATCTTCTCCTTTCATACAGAAATTGGCATCAATGACATTCAGACCCACCAAAAGACCAGCAATTATGGCTCCTTCCTCTTCCATCATGAGGGCATTGGGTTCATAGAATTCACTGTAAGAGAAATCCATAGAATGCTCTACTGCAATAAAACCTCAAGAATCAATGATGTAATCACAAGACACGAAGAAAAGTGAAGTCCTCATGGTTAAATATGGTCATCTATGATAATAGCAAAAAAAGTAAAAACAAGGATGGCTTGGATATTTTATTTTAGATAATAGGTGCATGAACAGACTCTGGATAATAGAGGTGCAGCTAGAAGAAAAGTGATCAGAATGGTATTTTCACCGAAATGAAAAATCATGCTTTCTCTACATATCTGCATTTGTGATGTACATGGGATAATTATTCAATCTTTAATGCATCTTAAAAATTATTTGCTTTTAAAAATTTGCTTTTTTTCTGATCTGCTTAATTTTTAATTCTAGTTAAGTACCACATTCCTTTCACACAGTGAATAAACATTTAAAAAAATGTGAACTGTTGAATAACTTATATTCATTCCCTTTTGACTAATTAGCAAAAAAAGTTGCCTATCAGCACCCATAATAGGTTGCAGATGATTTAAAATGTTTAAGGGGTCTTTTATTGTTTAATAAAGTCAGTTCTCACTACAGAAAATAGAAAAAGAAGCAAGCAAAAAGAAGCACACAAGAAATCCTATAATTCTAGCCACCAATGACTTGTTAAGACCGTGATATATCACCTTTCAGATCATCATGGAGACATACTTATATTTTTGAGAGATACTAAAGAAGCATTATACCATTAGATTATCTCGAATTTCTTTTTTTGGCTTAATGATAGTGTGAGTAGATTTCTATTGCAATAGATGACTTTCTGCAGCTTCATTTACACTGGCCTTTATAATATTCCACTGTATGGCTGTAGTATAAATGGTAATAGCCAAAACTTCCTTTTTCTTAGCCAGCCTCTCTCTGATGAATAGGTAGCTGTTTTGGCTTTTTACCATGACACATTCCACAGGCTGAAAATGACTTAGAAATAAAAAAGCAGAAGAGAAACAACGCATTTGCCTTTCTTTTTTGATTCTCTATAAAAAATATTAACAAATGGTAAACAGTTCAAAAACAGCACAAAATGATCTGCAAATTGCCCTCTCTTTCAATAATAGCCCATGTGCTATTTTGTTCTTTGACAACCTGTGAAGAAAGCTGAGTAGAACTGGAATGAACACGTTGCTTAATAGTTTATTTTCCCTAAAGACATACAGTAAACACTTCTTGTGTCTGGCTTCCTTCATGCGTTCTTTTATTTGTGAGATTCACATGTATTGCTGAATGCAATGGCAGTTCATTCATTTCACTGCTGGACAGTGTTCGTGGTATGAATTTGCAGCAGTGGATTCACTCCACTTGCTGTCTCTGTTGTGCAGGCTCCAGTGCTTTTCTGAACACGACTGCACACGGTTTTTGGGGCATAAACACCTCCACTTCTCTCAGACACGCCTATGGTGTGAAACTGCTGTGTCAAAGTGAGTGAAAATATGTATACAAAGTGTTCTTCTGTCTAGTTCACAAGGCTGAACCCATCTAATCGGGTGCTCTGCTGGATCGAGAGCTAATTCTTCAGACCCCAATTTGAACCACACAATTTTGATTGAAGACACTCCCCTGCAGCCACCTACTGCTTAAACATTAGACCCTACACCACTTCAAGGCTTGACTCTTGGAAAGTGGAGCCCTCCCTTTGTGGAAATAAACAAGTTCCCCTGAATGGTTCTTATTTCTTTTTATCCTGATTTGTTTAATTTTCTTCGGCAAGAAAACAACAATCAATGCATATGCAGCTGCAGCAACATTAAAACAATGCTCAGTATTAGGATCTGGAGCACAACTTCTTGTGAAAACTAGGCTCTTGGAAAATCCAACCATGTCTTTAAATTCTCTGTTACTTGTTCTTACACTATTTCTCAGAGGCAATCTGCTATATTTGAATTTCTCTGAGTAAATATTAATGACCTATAAAGTACATATAAAAAACTACCCACATCATACAATGTAGCTGGATGTGTTTTCATGAAGAGAACACATCTGTGCAACCAGCACCATATGAAAAAACAGTTTATTATCAGAACTTCAAAAGCCATCTTATGCTGCTTCTACCCCCAATTACTATCCCCACCCCACCAATGGTAGCCCTTTCCTGACTTCTATCATGAAAGATAAGTTGTATATACTTCCAAAGTTTATATAAACCGAGTAACGTGCAATGTATTTTTCATGTATGGTTTCGCTGCCCAACATTACACTAGTGAGATAAATTCATATTGCTGTGTGTAGTTGCTATATGGTATTTCATTGTATGAGAAATAACCATTGTATGGTATTTCATTGTATGGTATAATTTACTTATGCATTCTACTGTGAATGGACACTTGGGGTCCATTACAAACATTGTAATAGCTATGAACATTCTCACTCATGTCTTCTGTTGAACATAACCATTTTTGTTGGCTATACTAACTAGAAATGGAATCACTGATCACAAGGTATGCTTATGATCAGCTTTAATAAAGGATGCCAAACGATTTTTGTAAGTTTCTGAACCAATTAGCTCATCGGCAGGACACTAATGTTGCTTCACATGCTCATCAACACTTGGCATTATCTGTCTTTTTCATTTTAGCCATTCTGGTGGTTGTGTGAGGTTATCACATTGCTGTTTTAATTTGAATTTACAAGATAATTAGTGAAATTAGGTATCTTTTAATATGTTTACCGGCCATTGCAATTTCTTCTTTTGTGAAATGCCTGTTGAAGTCCTTTATTCATTTTTATATTTGCTCATCTGCCTTTTTCTTTTTGGATTGAAGGAGTTCTCTATATACCTGGAATATGCATCCTTTGTTGAATATATACATTATGTATTACAAGTATCTCCTTTAGAGCTATGGGTTGCCTCTCATTCTTAATCTTGTCTTTTGATGAACAGAAGTTCTTCATTTTAATGTAGACCAATTTATCCATCCATTTTTTCCTTTACAGGTAGAACTTTTTGTGTCCTGTTTAAGAAATTTTTGTCTAACTTAGGTTTCTTCTAAACATTTTTATTGTTTTCTTTTTCCCATTCATACCTATGACTCAGCTGGAAATTTTTTTGTGTGCTGAATTTAAATTTAACATTACCTGTCCACTTCCTGTCTTAGTGAGCCTGGGTAAATGCTAAGGTGTCAAAAGCCTCTCCTGCTTTCTGGAGGTGTTAAATTTTGACTTGCCCTGCAAAGGACCATATATATGCCACAGAGACAGTGTGAACCCACGTAATATAAAAATATCTGTTCTTGAGTATGTGTGTATGTGATGTGGGAGGAAGTATTAGTTGAACTATGTGAAACTGTCATGAATCAACTGTTTCTGATCTACAAAAATGATAAATTTACATGATTCAACCTCATACCATATAGAACATGGTAAGAAAAGAACAAAGTTCAAGAAGATTTTCATACCTGAGAAGTTCCTTCTTATTGATCAAAGCTTTCATATATTCTGAAAGTTTCTTCTGCATTAATGCCAAACGAAGCCAGGCTCTTCCTCTGCCTACCGGTGTCCTACAAAAAACACAGAAACCAAACAATGAAAAGTTGCAGAGATTGGGGCCACAGTGGGGACAGATTCACTTACTCTTGCTAGTGGTCACCCAGTATACCCTGTTCCTCATAGCCTCTCCCACCACATCTCTATGTGAGGAATTCTGTGCATGCTAGTGGGAGCCAGGGGTGTGTTTGGGACAAATGCTCTTGTGAGGAATTAGTTACTGAATGAGACTACAATTTGAAGACAAGACCTCTGGGAGGCCAAATTGAAAATGTTCCAGCAGACTACTTTTGGAAAATCATCATAAATGAAATGTGGGTCGTGTAAGTACCCAAACATTAATAATGAGATCACAGGCCACATAGACCTCTACCTGATTAAAATTAGACCAGTCTAATTTGGGAAGGCGATTTCTACTCTTTTTCAAGTTCCAAGCTGGGTTCCGGGTGTCAGTTCCTGAGATTCACTTGACAACTGTTTTAATCTTGGCTCTCCAACTCCATTGAACACATTCTTTGTCTTAAGTCAAGTCCAACATGCTACCTCCCTAGATCTAATTTCTTGAGACTCACCAGCTTATATCCACAGGTGCTTAGAAAAAATACGAAAATGGTTGGTATCTTAACATGAAGACAACCTCTGTTAGATCAATCATAACTATCCTTTGCAGGCACACTTCTCAGTATTCTACGTTACCAGTTCTCTCATAACACCACCTGTTCTAGTCATAACAACATGTTGCATTTCAGATTGTTATGAAATAAATGATTATGGTCATCATTGTCTTTAGTCTCACTCCTGAAGGAGATCGTTAAGAATATTTTCCCTGACAAACAGAATTCAACCTTAAACTTACTTAAGTCCTGGAAGATCTTTAACACTTGCTGTTATCTCTGCAGCTTCTGGAACAAGCTTTTCTACCAGTTCTAGAGGCCCCCAGAAGGATTTATTTTGTCCAAGAAAAGTTTTCTTAGCTAAGGTGATAAAAACAAAGCAATATTTTAATATTTTTTACAACATAAACATACCCTAAACACACACACACTCTATTCAGTGTGCTTTTCAGGGAACCAATCCTAGATTATCAGATAGTTCTAAAATTATTCATGCTTTCAGAATAGGTAACATTTTGTAAAAATAAAAAATCTCCTACTTCTTGAGACTCAGTCCTTCCTCTTTCAGGAAAAATTTATTAACTAGCCATATGATAACAATAAAATATTTTAACAATATCATGTTTAAAACTGTGTGGTATTAGTGAAGAAAACAGCCCAGTGGAAAAGAATACGTAATCCAGAAATAGGTAATCAAAGACTGGGGAGAGAGGAGGAAAAGAAGCAAAGGTGAACAAGACCGAGTCCTGACCTTGAAGCTTCTGGTCAAGTGGGAAGAGCATAGAAGCAAGAGTCAGGAGATCTGAGTTCCAGCACTTGCTCTGCCCCCATTCACTGTGTGACCCAGGGCAAGTCATGTCCCATTCTACGTCTATTTCCACCTGTGAAACACAACTGCCATGTTGGACTAGATACTTGTAACAGTGCTTCCAACCGTAGCTTTTAAGGATTTGTATTTTAAGACCTATACATCCTTCAAGTTAATCACATTCCTGCACCCATACAGGTTGCACTACAATGGATCAATGTCATTAATTCAAGCCTTTTATTCTTTGGCTCCACCAGGAATGCTTCTCTTCTTAAGCACGTATTGCTAGGAAACAGGTGCACGCACATTTGCATTTTGAGGCCGGGGCCTACCTTTCAAGCCATGTTTCAGGCAGTGCTCCATCACAACAAAGAACTGCTGGAGAGGTGCGTAGTCAGAGTCCAGGGTTCTCCCCAGGTTCAGAGCAGATTCAATCAAGCCTTTGATACTCAGCTTGGCCATGTTCATCAGGTTCATGCGTTCGTTAGCCATGAGATAATTAGGATCTGCAGCCAAAAGGGGAAGGATGGAGCCTGGTTACTAGAAATAGCACATTCAAAAACTCAGGATAATTTGACTGGGTTGACATTCGCATTGATGGCGCAAAAACAAAGGTGGGTAAGACTGCGGGTGTCTTGGCAACAATCAAGGCAGTGGCACCAAATTATACTATTAGTTGATGTATTCTCCTCTGCCATGTGCTTACTGTTTAAAAAAAAAAAAGATGCCAGTTGCCCTTAAGAATATTCTTCGTGAAACAGTAAAAAATCTATTTATTTTTATCAAATACTGAGCCCAGAGTAGGCTTTTAATACTGTCAGCACCGCCTCTGCCACCACCATAACTTGGGCCCATCAAGCTCACTAGCACACAGACTTCATGCCGGCCTGCTTCCTTACTGGCCCTGCCTGGTTCATTCTCTGCAGCCTGTGAAGTGCTCTAAAAAAATAAAGCCGATGTAGAAAAAAAGGATAAAGTGCTTAAACTCTGTTCCAAATATACTATTTGCATTTTTAGTATTTATACTAGTAAGCATTGTAATTTAAACTTAGCATTATTAAATGAACTAAAAATAATTAACATTATCAGGAATGCAAATATTAGAACTTAATCAAATCCCCAATTTTTAAAGGCTTAACAGAGTGTATGGCTCTCATCAACCAAATAAACTCCTTGAGGAAAGGGTGTAAGTACCATATTTAATCTGACAAAACTCAGATAGCTTCTTTATTGCACTTGCTACCTTCTTCATTGGTGTTAACCCTGGGCCTGGTACTGCGGGCTGCTTCTTACAGTTATGATCTCAGTCCCTCCTCACTGCATGCTATGAGACAGTTAGACCAACATCACTGACTTAAAAAGAAGGAAAATGAGGCTTAGAGAATTAAGTAGCTGACCTCAGGCGCAGCCAGAAATACCCAACAGAGCCAGAGTCTACACTCTGTTTCTCTGACTTCAAACCCTGTGCTCCTGACCACTATTATCCACCTACAAATACATCAGACTCCAAATATTTATCCTTCCCTCCTGCTGACCGTTCTTTTACACGATTATCACGTTTAATTTTTGCGACTCTATCATTTAAGTGCTGTCTCTTTTTTCAGGGGGTAAAGCAGGCCTGTAATGGTTTAGAGATCCAGGGCCAAACAGCTCCCAAGTAGCAGAATGTGGACTTGGATATAACATGAAAGTCAATGCTCTTTCCACTATGATACGGGCATCCTCCCAAAGCCAACTATGTTACATTTCTATTTTGGCCTGGAGATCTATGAAGTATTTTACCTTTTGAGGAGGATTAAAAGTAATACTAATAAAAGCTCTGCTCCTATAATAGAAACAAGCTACAACACAAAACAGAGATTGTCTTACTTAAATTGTCCCAAGTAATTCTGTTCACATAGTGTTTTCATTTATATCTGCTTTCACAATTAAATGAGCAGAATCAAATCTAAGCTCACCCTCTTCTCCATTAAGTTTAAGGACCTGGAGGTTTCCAGTGCCAACAGTACAAATCTAGGTTTGCTGTAGTGTTCTCTGAGGTAGTATTTTCAGCGGGTACTTTAGTAGGAAAGTCAGAATTGGTATACCTTCCCACTAATTCTTTCCCGCACACTAACAAAAAAAGTTAGGGCCGTGCCTCAAATCTGGCTCTCTGTTCACTGTAGGTCAACTTGTCAAGAATAGAATAAGCTCACAGGAGACACCAAAATACATCAAAAACAACCTCCCAACAGCTGTGAAGAACAACTTTATCAAATATTAATTTCCAGCATCAGTACCAGCAGTTATGTGCACTGTAGACTTTCTGACCTTCTATGCTCACTAGGAGAACGGAAGAGGGCTGGGGTGTGTGGCTACGCATGAACGTTTGCAGAGAACTCCTGGATCCCCATTTAACTCCCCCTGACAGATGGCAAGAAATGTGGTTGGGCTGAGGTAACTGGCAGTCCATAAGGTACCACTCCTTTTGCCTCAAGTCTGCAGATCATTAATTCAGGGAGCTAATAGCAAAAGTAATGTTGCTGGTCAAAGTACATAACCTAATTCCAACCTAGTGAGAACCAGTCACGTGGGAAGAGCTGGATTTGGAGTATGTACAAAATAGCAGACTGTGAGGCATTTTTCCAGAAGTGGTGATACCAGCTCTTCTATGTTGCCTCATCTTGCTCTTCTTGAAATCAGTAGCTGAAACGTTCAAGACATCTGGTTAGAGTCTGGGATACACAGACTACAGAAAGATGGCCTAGTGGCCAGGAAAATTAAATTCCTAACACCTTGGACTGCACGGTGTCAGGAATTTGGTGCTATAACCTTTTTGAACTAACCTGCACCAAACACAAACAACCCACCCATTCTTTAGAAAGTATTACTCTTAACCTTGGCACCACTGACATTTTAGGCCAGCTAATTCCTTTTTTTGAGGGGCTGTTCTGTGAATTAAATCTAGCAGCAACCCAGGCATCTACCCACTAGATGTCAGTAGCACCGTCCAGTCTGACAACCCCAAGTATCTCCAGCTGGTGCCAGAGTCTCCTGAAAGACAACAGCTCCTACATGTGGAGACTGCTACTCTAAACAAATGAAAGAAAGTCAAACAGAAATCAAGGTAACCTGACAATTAGGCATAAGAGCTCAAAGGAATTTATTGCTCATTATTATTTACTTAATGCAAAAGTTAAATGATTACTTAATGCTTATTATTATCAATATTTTTGTGCTGAGTAGTATATGAGAGAATGGTCGTTACAAACAATTTTGTTTCCTAGTTAGTACTAAATTAAACTGAATAGACTTAGTAGTTAAGTATTTTTTCATCCATTTTGCAATGTTGGCTACTAATAATTAATACTAAATCGTTAGCTTGATTTGTCACAGAATAAGAAATTCTCTGTTTAATCAATTTGTTACTTGTCTTGAATTGTAGTCAAGTATAAAATGATTTCCTGGAACTAATATATGCTTTTTAAAAGGGCTGCAATGACCAGAAGCGAATGTGGAGAGACTTCTAAGGGGCAGGGAAAGTTCTGTTTTTGATATAGTGTTAGTTGTGTCAAATTGGTGACTGTGTGAAAATTCACTTGAGCTGAATATTTATGTAATCTTTTCTGTATACTTTATACTTTTAAGTATAAAAAGCTAAACGAAGTTTTCTTGTATAGACCAGAGAATGATTTTAAAATGCATGACTTTCACAATGTTGTTATACTTTTTCTATATTAAAATAATTAAAATGTCAAATTTTCACAATGTTAACATCTAACACTATTTTTCTAAAACTTCATTCATTCATTCATTCATTTTCTTCACTAAATACTAAAATAAACATCTACTGGGTATTAGACACTGTATTTAACGCTGGGAATCCAGAGATAAAAGACCTAGCCTCTGACATTAAAGTGCTTACTACTTATCAAACTTGATAATACGGACATCTGGAGAACAAAACAGGGCAGCTTACAGAGAATACTTGAAATTTCAGGATAAACATTCTCATCTTCAACAAAGATTAATTTTATTCCAGGACAAGTAAATTAAAAGGCTTTTATGTTAAACTAAATACAACCATTCTATGGAATCAAATGTAAGTTTATATATAGATATATATTTTTAAGGCTAAATTAGTAGATATGATATTAATGTAGGATTTCAGGCAAGCTGTAAGTCCACCACAACCTTCTCTGCCATTGGATATATTCCGTGGAAAGTTCAAGAAATAACTATCAACATGGCTATTATTTAGCATTGTACTGAGGGTGACAGACCAATGCAATTAGAGAAGGTAAAGAAATTGGAGACATATAAACTGTGAGTGGGTCATATATTACTGCTCTCATACAATCTATTTTACACCCAGAAAATCAAACAAAATAAACTAAAATTTTTACAAAAATGTAATTCATAGAGATAGCAGAGTAAAATCAATACATAGAAACCACTAGATGCCATACATACAGGATGAGACTTTTGAGTTTGTCATTTAAAGGACAAAGAGAAACTGGGCAAGGCAGGCACAGGAGTAGAGCTGTGGTGGGAGTAGGGTGGACGGACGGCTTGAGCAGAGGCACAGAATGTGAAAGGACATGGCGTACAGAAGCAAATAAAACTGACAGATGCCAGGAGTTTATGAGCATTCAAGTAATAGCTGTGAGATGAGATAAGCGAAGTAATTAAGGGAGAGATTACTAAGGACCTTGTTTGGGGAATACGGATTTTACCTGAAAGTCAGTGCAGATTTTGATGTGAGGTGTAATGTCACAGATTTGAATTTTAGAGGAGCCATTCCAGCAGCTTTGAGGAAGATGAAGCAGAAGGGAGTAAGAACTGAAAGCCAAGGAGCAAGTAAGGGTCTACTGCAAAAGTTAAGGAGGGAAATTATAATATGGGACAGAACTAAAGCATTGAGTGCTGTGTGGAGAAGAGGGAGCTAGCTTCCTTTTTTTTTCTTCAATTTTTAAAAAAATGTTCAGATTTTAAAACAAATTCTTTAATTTGTATATTTTAATTTTGGGGGTTTATTTTAGGGAGGAAGTAAGTAGGAATTCATTTATATACTTATAATGGAGGCACTGGGGATTGAACCCAGGTCGTTGTGGATGCTAGGATATACTCTACCACTGAGCTGTACCCTCCCAACCGCGGGAGTTAGCCTTCAGCAATGTTGTAGGGGCAGAATGTCACGATTTCAGGACTCAGTGATCACCTGGATTGAGGGAAGAAGGAGAAAGAATAGAGAGCAACTTCTGTGTTTCTAGTTTGGGTGATTATTTGATTATCTCTACATTTGGCCAGTGGTGCAAATCACCTTGGTGGGAAACATAGCAGAAGCAGTGGACTAAAGAAACCATGTGGAAATGACTGTAGTTACAATAATAAACTATACTGGTTTTCAAACCAAAGTTCTCTCAAGGGAGTATGGGTCTTCATCATAACTCTTCAAGGCTGCTTATTTCATATGAGGAAATTTTAATAAACTTTACAGAGTCATGTGACTCATTTAGTTAACAGTGATGAGAAAAGCAGACCCAAAGTCATACAGCTAAGAGTGACAGTGAGGCAAACTGTTCTGCAAACCAGTCATCTCACCAAGACTCTATTTTAATCTCTTTATAGTGTGACAACTAACATTCATACAGAGAAACATTGAAATGTTTAATGAATAACTGAAAGAAAATTAAGGTATATTTAACATTATATTAAGATTTAGTATGTTACATTGTACCCAATTCTTGGTAAAGTGGGAATAATTCATACATAGCACAACAGTAGTTACTCTTCAGTTTCCCGGTTCTTTGACAGATCAAAACTTTTAAATGAGAAACGAAAATAGCTGTCACACACAAATTTCCCAGTGATACCTAAAAGTATTAATATGAGATTAAAAATGACAAATTAACAGAAAGATACTGAAAGGAAAGCTTACTCGATGTTCAGAATGTCTGAAGACCAATAATTCCGAAATAAATCTATTTTGAACTTTGGCCATAATATTTCTTAGCATATAAAATTGGGCATAAAATAAGTTATCTGTGATAGTGAAAGAAATTACTCAAAGTACTAAAAAGATCTTATAATAAAACACCATTTAACTAGTCTGGTGACACTCATTTATACAAGAGAATTATGAAGTTTTACTAAATCCTCCCTTAAAAATAATCAATAGAGTCTTAGGACCTTTAGAGTATTTATATATCTGTATCATTATCTATCTACTAATGACACTTCAGATATAATTTTGCACTCAAGAGTAATAAAGAGGAAATTCACTTAAGTAACATTTTCTTTGGGTTAAAATCCAAAGGAGTTGGTCAAAAAATTTAACCACAAATTTACTCATCCTTATTGCTACCTTTTCTTAGTAACAGCAGAATCAACGATGCACTTTGCAAAAAATAAGCCTTTACATCAGGAAGATTATATCCACCCACTATTCTTAATCTGCTTAATATTAATCATCTGGATTAACATATTATATGACACCAGGCAAGGAATCTCACTTCTTTGGGGCCTCAATTTCCTTACCTTTAAAATGAAGAGTTAAACTTGTTCAGTATCTCTTTTATCTGATAGAGACAAATACACCCATATCAATCATAATGACTAATCACAGCATGACTTCTCAAGGGAGGGACACATTAATATTCCCGGAATGAGGAGTAACAACATGGTTTGGAAAAATCCCACAAGTCACTCTGATACCAAATGAACAAGATCCTTGCCACTCCAAGTGTGGTCCTGCCTGGAATATCAACGTTGCCATCACCTGGAAGCCTTTAGAAACAGGAAACCCTGGGCTCCAATGATATTACTGCATCAGGTTCTGCACTTCAACCAGAATCTAAAGCAATCTGTATGTGCACTGAAGTTTGAGAAGCACTGATCTAGATGACTCTCCTAACTCTAGCCTATAATAATTCCATGATTTCACAGATGGCTTCCTCAAGGGCAGCCAATAATTACACTTATCAGTAGAAAGCTCCCAGGATGAAGAATAATAAAGATTAGAGCAGAAATCAATAGCAAATAAAACTGAGAAAAATCAATGAAATCCAAAGTTGGCTCTTTGAAAAGATCAACAATATTGATAACCATTTAGTTAGAACTGACCAACCAAAAAAGAGAGAAGATTCAAATTACTAAAATTAGGAACAGAAAGGAGACACTACTACTGATCTCACAGAAACAAGGATTATAAGGGAATACCATGGGCAACTATATGCTAACATATTAGACAACCTAGATGAAAAGGACAATTTCTAAAAAAGATAAACTACCAAACTGACTCAAGAAGAAATAGAAAATCTGAACAGATCTCTAAAAGGTAAAGATATTAAATTCATAATAAAAAAAATCCCACAAAGAAGAGGCCAGGACCAGATGGCTTCACTATTGAAATTTACCAAACATTGAAAAAATTAATACCAATCTTTCACAAACAAGTCTGAACAATAAAAGAAGAGGAAACACTTTCCAACACATTCTATGAAACCATTACTTTGAGGCCAATATCAAAGGCACCACAAATAAAACTACAGATCAATATTTTTTATAAATACAGATGCAAAGTCCTCAACAAAATACCTGCAAACCAACTCCAGCAACATATAGAAAGGATTATACAATATGACCAAATTTTTTTTGGATGACACCAAAAGCACAAACAACAATAGAAAAAAAAGATAAACTGTACTTCACAAAAGTTAAAAACATTTGCACTTCAAAGGATACCATCAAGAGTGAAAAGACAACCCACAGAATGGGAGAAAAAAATGCAAATCAGATCCAGTATCCAGAACAGATAAAGAACTCTTATAATTCACCAATGAAAGAGAAACAACTCAGAAAAAAAGAATGGGCAAAGGATTCAAACAGACATTTCTCCAGAGAAGAAGAAATACAAATGACTAATAAGTACATGAAAAAATGCTCATGAGGAAAATGCAAATCAAAACCATAATGAGTACTCTCTTTGACAGCACATATACTAAAACTGGAAAGATAGAGAAGATTAGCATGGCCCCTGCGCAAGGATGATATGCAAATACATGAAACATTCCATATTTCTAAAGCAAAAATAAACAAGTGAGACCCAATTAAACTCATAAGCTTTTGCACAGCAAAGGAAACCATAAATAAAAAGACAAACTACAGAATGGAAAATATTTGCAAATGATGTGACTGACAAGGGCGTAATTTCCAGAATATATAAACAGCTCATACAACTTAATAACAAAAAACCAAATAATCCAAAAATGGGCAGAAAACCTAAACAAGCAATTCTCCAATTAAGACATACAAATGGCCAATAGGCACATGGAAAAATGCTCAACATCACCACTTATCAGAGAAATGCAAATCAAAACTACAGTGAGGTATCACTTCACACCAGTCACAATGGCCATCATTAAAAAGTCCACAAACCACAAATGCTGGAAAGGCTGTGGAGAAAAGGGAACCCTCCTACACTGTTGGTGGGAACGTAATTTGGTATAGCCATTATGGAAAACAGTATGGAGATTCCTCAAAAAACTAAAAATAGACTTACCATATGATCCAAATGTCCATCAACTGATAGATAAAGAAAATGTAGTATGTTCAATGGACAATTACTTAGCAATAAAAAAGAAATAAAGTACTGATACATGCCACAACATGGATGGACCTTGAAAAGATTATGCCGAGTGAAAGAAGCCAGACACAAAAGGCACCAGAGTTAATGATTCTGTTTATATGAAATGTCCAGAATAGGCAAACCTATAAAACAGATAATAGATTAGTAGTTGTAAGGAACTAGGAGGAATGGGGAATAGGGAGTGAATACTAACAGGTATAGTTTCTTTATAGGGTGATGAAAATATTCTGGGATTAGATAGTGGTGATGAGTGTACAACTTTGTGAATATACTAACAACCGTTGAATTGTACAGTTTAAAGTGGTGACCCCTACAGTATGTGAATTATATCTCAGTAATGCTATTAATAAGAAAAAAAACCCTAGAAACTTAAAAGAGACACAATAAAATATCTCGTATGGATCCTAATAAAAAAAAAACCTGACAAGCAGACTTTGAAAATGGGCTGAATATTACTTACTGTTAGGAAATTATTAATAATTAATTTTGTTAGGTGTGGTACTGTCAGAGCAGGCAGATAGCTAGATATGAGCAGAGAAAGGGGGGCACAGACCAAATGGCAGGAATTGGGCAGAAAGGAGGGGCACAAGCCAGATGCAGGAAACCACACATCATGTAAGCAGCAGGGATCCCTGGGCAGAGAAAGAAAAGCAGGAGCCTTGGGGCTGATAAGGGATCATGTCCTTTGGGATGACAAGTGGCCTGGAGAAGAACAAAGAAAGGTGAGAAAAGGCAGGAATTTCTAGTGTCCGAATGTAACCTTCTGCTCATTATGCTCTCATTTCAATAAAATTAGCCTTGCAGATCAGAAGTACCCATCAGGCACCGACACCATGACACTTCTGATCCAGACTAAATAAGGACAAAAATCCCTCCTCCCCAGTGAATATTCTGCCCATTCATTTTTACACCTTATGTAACTAACTTGCCAAAGAAACTCAGGGCAGCCGCTCACCCGAGCCTGCCCGCTCTCCCCTGAGAGTGTACTATCCATCCTTTAATAAAGCCTCACTTAACCTTTTTTTAACCTCTAAGTCTTATCTCTGAATTCTTTCTGGGAGGGGACAAGAACCTGGAACGCTGGTTGCATCTATTGGCAACAGTACTGAAGTATTTACAGGTGATAAAACATGATGCTTGGAGTTTGCTTTAAACTAAAAAAGCTTATTTGGTTATTAACGTTCCAAAATCATTCTTCCATATACTTTTACTCATTCTTGGCTAGGGATTGTGAAATAGTAAGAAATAAATCTACCTACCTACCTACCTACCTACTTATTTCAGCCCCTGGTTCCTAACACAGAGGTCCTAAAACCCTAGTAATTTCCCAAGTGATAAGAGCTACAGGGGTATCTTCTGTTATATTTGGTTTCTGTTTCTAGGTCCTGAGTTTACCAGAGTTAAAGGTAAAAGGAGCATATTTGTTATTCATAAGTCCCATTCAATCAGTGTTTTTGCTAATAAGGTGACTTTTAGAAAGCCCCTAAGGATGTGGAAGCTGGTTGCCAGGGGAACCAGTGGCATGATAAGAGGGTTGGAACTTTGAGCCACCCCCTTCCACCTCCAAATCCAGATAGGGGAGGGGGGCTGGAGATAGAGCTCAACCATCAAAGACCATGATTTAATCAATGTAGCCTACATAATGAGGCCTCCATAGAAACCCGAGTGGAAAGGGTTCAGAGAGCTGGTTAGTGAACACATCCAGGTAGCTGGGAGGGTGATGTTCCCTGAGAGGGTATGTGGGTTCCATGCTCCTTCCCACATACTTTGTCCTATGCATCTCTTCCATCTGGCTGTTTTTGAGTTGTGTTCTTTTATAATACACCTGTAATCTAGCAAGTAAACTCTTTCCCTGAGTTCTGTGAGCCTTTGTAGCAAATTATCAAACCTGAGGAGGGGCTCATGGAAACCTCCAATTTATAGCTGGTTGGTCAGAAGCACAGATGACAACCTGGACTTGTGATTGGCTTCTAAAGTGAGGGGGCGTCTGGTGGAGTCTGTGTTAACTCCAGATAGCGTCAAAATTGAATTGCTGTTGGAGAATTAGTGGGTGTGGGAAAACACCCCACACACTCAGTGTCAGAGAGCACTGTGAATAACAGAGGGAAAAACTGTTTTTCCTTTAGGTATCCACTTCTCTAATCTTTAAAAGATGTCCATTTATATTCCAAACTTGTCCAAGAGTTCTCTATGAAACCACACTGACTTCTTCACTGCACTCCCATATCACAAAATAATCAACTTTAGGAGTTTCCTAAACTCCTTCAAGCACCTTTACCTGAAGAATTCCACACACAGAAGAATACCTAGAAGATTTCTGGGAACATCTAGAAGGACAGTAGTCAGTCGCCTTTGTTTTGATGCAACATAAAAATTTTAGGTGTTAAGTATAAACCCAAGAGTTCCTTGCTCTGCTCAACTTATTCCATAGAAATAATTAAAATGTTAGGGGGCAACACTGTGATCTGATCTAGAAGAGTTAGAGCTGCCTCTCTCATATTCCCTGAGTGATACTGGGGAAATTTCTAATCTCTTTACATCTAACCTATAAAATATTGAGAGAGACAATCCTCCTTGGACTTCCTGCTCTACATTTCTTTATGGGTTGTACCAAGAATGCAAGGCCCTGAATGCTCTTTTATCCAGGCCATTTCTCAGGGTTGTGTATGTAACTGATTATCAGGAGAGATGAGACTTGCCTACTGCTTCCTGTAAAAGCAACAGATACCCCACACTCAATGTTCCTCAGCTGCAACACAGAACCACCACATGCACAGCATCTTCCTGAGCCATACAGTGTCTCCTGGGTGCAACTCTGGTGCAAGAGGAACTGACACAAAAGTGTTGATGTTCAGTCTGCTTGTAGTGTTATGAGTAACAAGGTTTTTTGTCTCTAAGTGAAACGGAGTCATGTCTTTACCCGCATCCAAGAAACAGTAACAGGCTCATTTTTTAGCTTGCAAGTAGGGTAAACCCCAACCTTGACAAAAAACAAAAACAACAACAACAACAACAAAACTAAATAGGAATAAACTCTTCCTTAGTTTAATTCCCTAGAACACTGTACATTTATACTTCAAATGAGACAACACCAAAAGTAATAAAGATAAAAGCACGCTAAATTCCAGTGTAAGATTTGAGGCAGACCCTAAATATGAAATCACAGAAAACATGGAAGAAAGTATTCCAAGGGGTGGGAGTGGTTGTGTGAAATGAGGTGAAGGAAATAATGGAGTGGGGAGTTCTTCCTAAGGAGAACTGGAAAACACAGGAAGGGCAGAATCAAGTGACAGGTCTCTAAAACCAGACCTGCATATCCAGGAAGCAGGCAATGGGAACCTTTGCAGGTTTTCAGCAGGCAAGTCCTAAGACTACAGCTTTGCTTGAGGGTGATTAGTCTGAAAGGATTATGCAAAGGGAATTTGAAGAATTTGGTGGAGAGGATCAAAATGGCTTGCCCCGAAGAACTGTACCTGTTAAGGAAACAGAGGCGTCAAGAATAACCTAAAGTTTTTGCCCTGTGAGACTAGAATACTGTGCTGAAAATGGAAATTAAACAACAACAAAAACAACAACTGAATAATTGTTTTGGAGGTAAGGGACAAAATCTGCTTCGTTTTGGATACAGTAAATGATACGTGGAAGCAGTCTCAACATAATTTTCAACACATAGTTGTACATACAAATTAAAGTTTGGGGTTGGATAGTCACTAGCATAAGGATAACAGCAGCAATTATTATAAATAAGATGTTTTCATCAGAGGAGATGGTTTAAAGAGAAACAGAAGGATGCAGGGTCACTGGCGGAGACTTTAAAAGGTGTTAACAATTACAGGCTGGGAACAGAACCCAACATACTGGCACTGCGGGAAGAACTCTCTTGCTTCTATCTCGGTAGCTAGAGCTAAAATGGACATACACCAGAGAGGCAGCACAGGATCCTGGACTAGCTTTCACACTGAAGGTCACGACCCCTTAGTGGAGTATAAAATCGATCTAGTATGTCCCATATAGTAAGGTCAGGCATTGTTTCATGAAGCCCTTGTTCTAGATGTTTACAAATCAATGATGTGTGTATGGAGTTTTGGTGAAAAAATATGTTTACAGTGGGTCTCTAGTCAACTAGGTTTGAACTTTGGTTTAGTGATTAAGAGCACAAGCCTTGGAGCTGGCTCACTGGAGTTTGAACTCTACTTGAATTCTTCCCCTAGCTGTAACCCTAGGCAAGTTTCTTCTCTCTTTTCTTTCTTTCTCTCTCTCTTTTTTAACTTCTTAATTTGAGATAATTGTAGATTCACATGCAGTTGTAAGAAACAATAGCGAGATATCGTGTACCCTTAACCTAATTCCCCCAAAGGTAACATCTTACAAAACCAGAGTAACTTATTACAACCAGGAAACCTACACTGAATTACAGCATTGAATTATATCACCCTCATTTTGATCTTTTACAGCCACAGGCACTTCCCTTCTGCCTCCTACCCCCTTATAATCCACAACAGCTACTAATCTGTTTTCCATTTCTAAAGTGTTGTCATTTCAAGAATGTTATATAAATGGAAATTATACAGCATGTAACTTTAAAGAAAAAAATTTTTTTCTACTCAGCATAATTCTTGAGAGATCCATCCAGGTCATCAATAGTTTGTTCCTTTTTATTGCTGAGTAGTATTCCACTGGGATGGAACTCTGTAGGCCTTACTTTCTTCAGCCATAAGATTTGATAAGGGTTTTGAAGATTAAACAAGTTCATGTATATTAAATATTTGGAAATGCTTGGGGCATACTAATAAACAATTGTTAACTATTAAAATTATTATGGCCCTCCACAAATAAGTTTAATAATTTTCTTTAATTAAATATAGCCTTTCATTGAATGTCTATGTGACACCATGCTAGATGCTAAGAAAATCATTGATATGTTCCTTCCAGTTTTCAAGATGGCAGATAACAAGTCTTAACTCACAAAATATATCAAGGAACCAGTAAGCAATCTTGATCAGGTAATATTTCACACAGGTATATTATTTTCCTAATTCAAGTAATGTCCCAGGCACTCCAATCTCAGAGAGATAGGTAGTAATCTGGGCAACTGCAAATTCATAGAATCTGTTTAAAAGGTTTATAAATGAGTACAGAAAGGAATTCAATATTTTTTGAGAAACTAAAGATAGCAAACCACGTGCTTTTTATTATTTCATTACTCTTCGTAATTTTCTAACGAGTTTCAAAACTTTTAGATTCAAATTAATAGCATATAATGAGTGAGATGCAAGATAACTGATCAATGTTGTGAGCATGATACAATTCCACCCTAAGAAGACATTTCATTTTCTACTAGACAGGTGTTATAGACACACTGAATGTAAAACCAACCATCACTGTAAGAAATCAGTTCACCAGAAAAACCCCAATCTTGCCAAAATTGAAACAAAATGAAACAAAAACCAAACCCCAAAGCTAACAGTTCAAATCCGTGACCTCCTAGAGTTTATTATCTTAAAAAAAGCAGTCTTTCAGGAGGCTGGAACTCAGTGTTAAAAAGCCAACTCTTATGACACATCCATAACAACAGATAAGAAACAGAGTTAAAACAGCTCAGCAGTGATGGTCTCCTGAAGATCTGAGCCTATATTTATTATCAGCTTTCTCTGGGTCTGACTGCAGGTTCTTCCCATGACCCTGGGCTGCTATGCGTGTTATGTGTGGGTAACACTCCATAACTCATGTTCATTCTTGTTACAAGTACTCATTTACAAAAACTCTAACTTATATAAACACTAAAATTCTAGAATTTCATATAACTGAAACAAGACAAAAGATGTAGAAAACTATATTTAAAAAGACAAGGATGAAATGACTCAAAAAAAAAGTTAACAAGTAAAGCCATTTTCTTTCCCCCATTCTGATTTTCTTTATTTTAAGCTATACTCCAGAAAGACATTTCTGTAAATAGGTTCTTGGCTAACCATTTGACTGGTAATCTACTAAGACATCAAAGTAATACAATTCATATCTTCTGAGTTTTTCCCTTTCTGATTTCATCTATGATAATCATTCATAAAAATTCCAGCAAAAAGAAAATGAAAAAGAGGAGGCTGACTCTCACAGCAGGCTTGATTCTTACAGTAGTACCTTGTATTAAAGAAATGGAAGCTTACCAGGGGTAAGTCATACGGAAAAAAATCTCCAAGAAGGGCACAGATTTGTTGGCTTTTATGTAGCTTTTTTCTTTATAACTAGTCTGTTAAAGGAATCAAAACACTGGTACCTGGTTAATAATAATAATAATAATAATAATAATAATAATAATAATGGCAGCTAACACAGTTAACAGTACTCATTCACTGAGTCAACAACCTCCTTTTTCTCTTGTCTATGAACTGTCAATCAACTAGACAATACGAATTTTTTTGTTCATCAAAATATAATTAATTATATTAAAAGTAGAATAAAAATGGAATAAAAATAGTCTGTAGAAAATGAGATGAAACTCAGGATAATTTACTCATTCAAAGTAAAATGCTAAAGAAGAAACTATTGGGCCTCACTGGAGAGAGAAAACTGCTTTAGTTTTTTGCCCGGTGTGACCAAATCTACCCAGGACCATACTGTCCCAAGTCTGATACGAACACCAAGAAGTTTAAGACAAATTCTGCTCTCAAGGATTTTACACTTTAACTAGGAATATAAACATACATGAATCAGAGAACATGTCAAAAGCTTCAACCTCCAAGTTCTGCAGAACCTGAGTGAATGGGGAAATGATTGCGGGCCAAAGCTGTCAGGGAGTGTGTCCCAGAGCTCTCCTCTAGACTGCAGGGGCTGCAGTGGGAGGGAGATGCGGTGTAAATGCTCTGGGTGGAACGTCACAGGAACGAGGCAGGAGAGGAGGCTCAGGGCCGCTGACACAGTCAGTGACAAGGCCAGCGTGGGCAGAGTAGTGGACGTGTGCTATGAGAGTGTGCCCTGCAGCGTGTGCTATGAGAATGTGCCCAGCAAAAGTGGGAGAACATAAAATGATGCAATAAAGTGGAGCCAAACTTCAATTTTTCTATTTTTATTATAAAAAAATGTATTAATGAGCTCCCTAAAGTTAGGTGCCAATTACAGGGAAAAAAAATGATTGGTTTGTGGAACCTTCATACATTACAACACATGTGCTACTTTTCAAAGTAATTCCACCAGCTACCACATGACCAAGCTGAAAGTATCTTAATGTTATGGAAATCTACAAATCAGAGAGCAACATTCCAGACCGAATACTTGAAGTTCCTGGGATCTGTTCGTGGAATTCATAGAAATATGTACGTATCTATTTTTTTGGCATGAATGATAAAAAATTTACATTTTCCAACAAACAAATGAGAAAACAGCCACCGGAATACATGATATAATCTTGAAATAAAGTTCCCTTTGAACATGTTATTAAATAACAAATATTCTAAATGAACAGCATACACATATATTAATGCCACTTTACTTGGAACCATAAAGATAAAGATTTTAAATGCAAGACTCTGAAAACCCTAATCCTGTATGAAGTACCTGCATGGAAAATCTGGCAAATATGCTTACTGCTCCAGTTACTGTCATGGGAAATAAAACCTAAAGCGGACACTTCCTCTTATGGAAAACAATCAAAAGGTGGTTAGAAAGTTTAAAAGAAAAAAGAAAGAAAAAGAAAGAAAGAAAGGGAGAAAAAAGGCTAAAAGATGTTGGTGTGGCACGCACCTTCTGTATCATCGCGCATTTGCTCCACCAAATCTGTCAAATCCTCCCAAGAGTCTTTGCAAACGGCAAAAAGAAAGGAAAAGAAAGATAAAATGTCATGCAAGCCAAGAAAGAAAAGTGTTATTAAAAACAAGGTTTCAAAAGGGATAACTGAAAGGGAGATTCCCAGAACTCTTTGAGCTTAGCCCAAGAGGTTAGCAGTCACCCAAGGAGGAATGTGACACTAACAAAGCAGAGATATTAACTGTGATATTAAATGTCGCAAAGCTGAGATTAATAATTTCAGTTTTTAATAAAAGGGAAGGTGCACATCCCATAAAAAACTAACAGGTTTTTTTTCCCCCACTGAAAATCAAGATTAGATTCTTGGTATTCTAAGTGTACGCAACCTCATTCAATATCTATTTTCATCCCCTCAGTGAAGCTGAAAAACATGTGAGGTGTTTTTTAGACTCAGGCCAAATATCATGCAAAACTAGTGACTTGGAATAATAAAGAAAAATCTCAATAGTCTTCCTGATGCCCTCCACCCCAACAGTTCTCCTTCCCCAAAACAAAAATAAAGGAAAAGTTGCTGTTTTGAAGACAAAATAAATCACTTATAATAAAATGAACACAGATAATGTTTATCCAGTTAAAAGTATAGTACTCTCTCCTCTTACTGTAAATTCAATGTTCTTGCACACAGAATAGTGAGAATATGAAGTGAAAGAACAAGAATGTCAAGATTACAAATGTAACAGATTATTCTATTATTCTATAGTAGGTAGATTCTATTTTAGTGTCTTCTAACAGTGTCTTAAAACTGGTAGATCATTTTCTGTTCTGAAATAAGTTTTGAGAACCTATAGAAATTTTAAAAAATGGATTAGCATCTTCCTTCAGTAACTCTGAAACCATTATTTTACACACAATGGCATATTCATACTTAAACTCACAAATCATGTGAATTTTACATGTGTAAGTATGCAGCAAATAAAGGTAAGTTCTCAGAGAATGAACATAAAAGAATGAGAAAATGGGCCAAGAATGCTTTGCCCATGATAAGCCCTCTTTCTTGAAAGATTTATCACAGAAGTCAGCATAGTATCTGAAGCAATAACTTGGAATAACCATCTAAAAAAAGAACTTACCATTTGTCCTATTCTCACGAGTTTTATAAAATACTACTGTAATTAAACTGATTAATTTTAGTTCTCATGTAACAGAATTTTCTAGTAGACTATAAGGGTATATTCTAGTGTCAAATATATGGTCAGTTATTCTGTAAAGTTGCGCAAAAAAAAGATCCAAGTATATAGAAAGTTTAAATTTAAATTTAAATTCAGAAAACAGGGAAGCAGATGGGGATCTAGTAAGGTGATATATGATTAAAATGGAACTTTTCTGAAAAATAGATATATACAGATTATTGGCTAGGTCAAACACAAAGATAGGTAATACAAAAAGACTGCAAGTGTCTATGCCCTATTACATTTGTGCTATCTCCCAATTCAAAAGTCTAGAAATTAATGATTTAGAAAACCAAGCACAGGAGTACAGCTCAGAGGACCAGGATTAAATTCCTAACTTCTGTCAACATCCCCAGCAAGTCACTTTATAAACAGAGGCAGGAAAACATGCTGGTTCAGAGAACAGACTCAAGAGCGGAACGCCTGGGCTCCCGTCCCAGCCCCACCCCTTACTCGCTGTGTGACCTTGGTCCGGGTACTCCATCTCTTTTCCCGTAGTCAGTTTCCTCATCTGTAAAACATGGACGAGAACAGGACCTGCCCTACAGCACTGGTGTGAGAAGTAAAGAGTAAACTTAGGTTCAAAACCTTTTATCTATTTTCTGGCCAAATGTATTTTGAAATTCAGCATTTTATTTTTTAATTTTAGAAAAGTAAAATGGTATATACTGAGGCCAACAAACATGCAGAACCAGCAGGGCCTGGGGCAGCACGTCACATTAAGCACATTAGTATTCCTGTAGGAAATAGATATTCAAATTAAATATGGTAATTAAAGACTTTAAAGTACCGAGCACATTATAGGTACTCAATGTCCACTCTAGGTATACAAGAAACCAGTGTGTGCCCTGTATTCTGATTTGGCTACAAACTGGAGTCATCTAAGTATATTTGCCATAATTATTCAAAGGAAATAGAGGGAATGGGATTGAAAAAAAAAAACCCTAAATATTAAACACAGCGAAAAACCCTAAGTCAATATAAGTAGACTAAATGACAAATTTAACAGCTGAGGTGCTGTTAAACTAACAATAATACAATTAGGTTGTTAACATAACGATAAATAGTAGTGAAAGAACTGTCAGGCTGATTTTTAAAAATGCTAATAGGTCCTGTTCTTTCACTACTACGATAAATAGTAGTGAAAGAACTGTCAGGCTAATTTTTAAAAATGCTAATAGGTCCTGTTCTAACCAGTAACTGAGGCTAAGGTCTATCGTCTTCCCAAAGTATAGAAAAACCAAGAATATCAGCAAAAAAACAAATGGTCTGAGAAAAAGTAATACTAAGTTATTGTGATACTGTGATTTATAATAAGAAATATGTATTTGGTCTTCATCCCTAGTCGCTGACACAGAGCTCACGAAACCTTGTAAATTCCTAAGTGATGACAACATTAGAAGCATCTTTTGCTCTAATGAGGTGACTCTGGGTGGGCTCCTGGATGGGAGCTGGTGCCTAGAAAGCCTAAGACATAATTAGAAGATTGTAATTATCAGCAGCATCCCCTCCCTTCGAGAGAGAGATGTGGACTGAAAATGGAGTTAATAATTGGTCTTGTCCATGTGAGGAAACCTCCTTAAAATCCCAAAAGTATGAGGTTTGAAAGCTTTCAGGTTGGTGACCACATTCATGTACCCGGGAGGGTGATGTATCCCAACTCAACAGAGCAGAAGCTCCTGCTCTGAATCCTCCCAGACCTCACTCTAGGTATCTCTTTATCTGGCTGCATACCTATATCCTTTACCATATCCTTTAATAAGTTGGCAAAGTTAAGTGCTTCCCTTTGTTCCATGAGTTGTTTAGCACATAACTGAATTCAAGGGCGAGGAGGTCATGGGGACCTCCGATTTGCAGCCCAGTCAGAAGTTGTGGGTAACCTGGAGACCTACTACTTGCAATTGGCATCTCAAGTGGGGAAGAGGGGTCCTGTGGGACTGAGTCCTTGACCTGTGGGATCTGATGCTTTCTCTAGGCAGATAAGAGTCAGAATTGAGTTAAATTGTGGGACAACCATCTGGTATTGCTGAATCACTTGGTACTGGGAAAAACCTACACACATTTGGTGACCAGAAGTGTCAGAAGTGAAGTGTTCTGTGTGAAAGTAAAAGAGACCCAGGAGAAGAAATGTACCTTTTCCCATTACAGTTATCAGCATTTGAGCCACTTAATATTTACTGAGCACATCTGGGGAGCAAAGAACTTTACTAAGGCAGCTAAGTACGGTTAGTTTGCACAGAAGATACAAAGATGAAACATCCACAGACACTGCCCTTGAGGAGATCTAGGTAACTATGACACGAGGTAAAAGGGACTGGTATTAGAGAGATAAGAGAAGATAGAAGAGATTCCTAAGTCAGGTGAGCAGCTAGGTGACACAGGGCCTGAAGGGGAGAGGGGATAAGGAAAAGGGGCCTCCTCAGGAGACCTTCGCCCTCTTGCCTGAATGGTTACAATGGCAGAAAATAATGTCTCTGATTAACTGGACCTCAAATGGGTAGCTGCTGCCCATAGAACAGGACACAGTGAAATTCTCAGATAAGATATAGTACATCTCATACATATGCTAAGATTTACAGCCCTAGGAGAAAGAAAGAAGAAATTTCAGCAGCCTTTCATCCCAGAAAGTAAACTCGAGCAATCTCAGAAAAGGGTGAAATTTCTCACTGTACAATCAATGGTAAAACTCATTCTCTTCTGCTTAGGACACTGTCGCTAGTATAAAGGAAAAAAAAAAGATAAAACATCATGCAGTTTATAGCTGCTGAATCAACTGTCCAAAAACCACAACTGTTTCCTTTGAAAGTTCAGATTTTAACACACTGTGAGAAACCACAACCAACTGCAGTGGCAAAAGAAGAAGAGTTGCAAAGAAAAAGCCAATATGAAAATTCATGATGCCATGTATTAAAATTTTTAGTGTTTATGGCAGCTTGGAATTGTATATAAAAAATTAAAATACACTACCATTTGATCAAGAAATTCCACTTCTAAAAATGAAAATTGTTCAAATGAAATGTGTTCAAGTTATAAACATAATGATATGCCAAAACTGTGGTAGCCTATTTTAGAAATAACCTAAATGTCTATAATAAGGGACTCAAAGAAGTTATGGTACTTCCAAACAAAAGACAGTAAATGAGGTGATATAGAGTTCTAGTTACTGATACAGAAAGATGCTGCAGAGAAAAACGGCAGGTCACACAACACAGGAATGGAATGATCTTACATGTATAAAGTTGTGTAAGCTTGTAAATGAACTCCATGTGTACATATTTAAAAAAGAGAATCTGGTTACTAAATCTTACTAGTAGTTATTGGTAAGTATTAGAATTTTAGGTGAATTCTACCATTTTATATTTTTTACTTTTCTGTATTCTGTGACTCAAATGCAAATATATTCTTTTTATAACTAGAAAAATAAAGTTGTTTTCACTAAAATACATATATTCATTATACATTAATATATGTTAACATATATTATTAGAACCCCATTATCTTCAATACACTGATAGATATTTTATTTTGGGAAATTCAATTACGATGAGTAATAAATACTTAGGGGCCGTTTGGCAATAAGTCTGTTTCACTGTCCCTCTACACGTGTGTTTCTAAGCTCAGCAAATTCTTCTATTTGTTCTCTGGCAAAGTTCAAATGTGAAAAATTGCAAGGGAATGAATTTTAGTATTTACTTCCCTGTACTCAAAGGCACTTTGTAGCAGTCTCAGTGGACTGTTGGGAGTTGGAAGAACCACAATGGAAAATCATACCCCATTATGCTACCTTTCCAAAAGAGAGGCACCACTGAAACCCCCCAAATA